GGACGAGATTAAATAACAAGCATCCTGTCTGGGAGACCCCTGTAATTGCAAGCGGGTCTGCCTATGATGGGAAGCTTGTGGGGCTGCCCATGGCTTAGCACTCACATCGCGTTCAAATCGCACAAACTCAGAATTCACGCCCCTTGGCATTGCAGTCGCTTGCCCTCTAAAGCTGGAACGGTTGCCTTCCAGTCAAGTGGTTTATATATCTTTATTAAGTAACGAATTTGGCTATTATTATAACTAGGAACTCGGGATGTGTGAAGAGTTACCTAACAAATCGGACAAGAAATACAAATTTGGATTATATCTTATATTCAAGAGTAAAGATATTGATATGCACATGCGATAAATATAAATACAACTACGTAGGATATGTATATGTTGTCATATGAAATGAATAGCATAAAATGCGAGCTGCGCACTCAATTAAACAGACTGTCAGGTTTCAGTGTCAGTCAATTGTCTGACCAGCCACAATAACTGACACGACCTCGTCCTGGCATGTCCTGACCAACTGACTGACTGGCTGACTGGCATATGAGAAGGTGGCACTGACAATGCCAGAATTTGCATAATGCAAACGTAAGAAACAAGAAAACAGCTTGTGGCAGCCATTGAATCGGTTTGTGATGCTTCCACACGGATACATTGCACTCTTCAAGTGAATTGATGCAATTGCCAGGATAACACAGAGATCCAACAGGCTGGACGTCCCTTGAACTTTGCCTTTCAATTTGGGCCACACTGTCAGACTGTGAGAGGTGGCAAGAAGTTGAGCTCAGGCCTCAACTGCGATACACTTGCATAAGCAATACTCAACCACATTACGTATACGCCGCTTGTAACTCAGAGATTACAGCATGTATGCATTTCTAACATGTAAATGGCTCATTAAAAGTTTTACACACACACACACACGTTGACTGAGGCCATTTATTAAATGTTAGTTTTACTAAAATTTCACGTGGGCAAACATTTTGCTATAAAACAAACGAGCAGCGCAGACAAGTAGACAAAAAATAGCATGGGGCAATCGCAGAGGGAGGGGAGGGGCAGAGCAAGAGTGCATACTGTATATGTATATGTATGTGTATTTGTATGGTATATATAGTGTTCGCAGAACTTAGATGACATAGCACACAGGCTGTCTACTTCCGCCTGGCCGTGCCTCTCTCTCTTTCTCTCTCTTTCGTTCATTCGCTGTCTGTGTGTGTGAGTGTTTGTTTTTTTACTGTGCCTGCAGCGCAACACTTCCTGTTTACATAAACAAACACGTCAATGTGTCTGACGTGCAGCTTACCCTCCTTCAACCTCCACCCTCCCCCTCCCCATCCCTTCCATGTCGCTCTCTGTCCCTTTTGTGCCGCTTCACCCTCTGCGTGGGCTCCCACACATGCATACAAATTTTGCATTAGCTCAACAAGGATTTTGTTTTCAATATTACAACGTCACGTGGAGGACAACGTTGTTGCTGTTGCATGTCAGAGGACGCATTGAAAAAGTTAGCTTTGCCTGCAGGCAGCTAAATACATTTGAAAATGTTTTCACATTGATATTCTTAATGATTCATTGTGGGCAAAGTTTTTGCGATTGCCAATATGCGATATTCAATAAACACGCTTAGGATGCTCGAAATCGATTAGTTTTTTATATGTAAGCAACAAAATTTGTTGCTCCAAATTAACTTAAATGACATCAAAGTCAAGCTTGAAGCTTGCAAAACTGAATAGCTTTAACGCATTCGGAATTGTTGCAAATGTTGCAAACAATTTTGAACATTTCGTCTTTGCAGTTGCATAGTTTGCTTCGTTTGCGTCTTGCAAAACTCATGGCAACATTATTGGCACAAAAATATTTTTCATTTTAATTAAATTGCATTCTCTCGCATCCGAGCTCCGCTCGACGTCTGCCCCCGGGACTTACATCCCACTTGGAATTTCAGTTAATCAAACGCAGCGTTCTACATGAAAATGCCTAATTGTATTATTACATAACTTAGCTTTGAGTCGACGAGCTTGAAGCCAGAGATGAGCGCATGTCGTGTCACGGCTTGAGGAGTCACGAATTTATTTACAATACTCTTCAAAGAAGGATTTCCTTACTTTTAATTTAAGAAAATGAATGAGAAACATTGTTTATGCACTTGTGATATTCTGTTACTTATTGGAGGATCTTACACGCATGAAATAAGCATTCTTGATTCGTGTCACGCACCCATCTCTAGGCAAAGCTGAAGTCTGTGGCTGTGTCAGCGTCGGCAGCTGCCATAATTCATTTGGCACTCGATACAAAAGTCGTGCGCAATTAATTCACGCGCCCGTTATTGATAAATCAATGCGAGATTCGGTTTCAAAGGATAATTAATGCGTCGCACAGCAACGCGGCCTGCTTGTGACAGCAGCGGCAGAAGGATATGTGCTCTCGAACGAGTCTGTATGGGTTTTCCTCCATATTATAGCCCACTTCGGTAGCCCATAACCAACCAATTAGTTGCAAACAACAAGTTATACAATATTTAAGGGGAAAATACATTCATACTCAAAGGAAATTTTAACGAAAAACGATTTCGCAATCCTCTTATAAACCATTTCAAATTTATAATAAAAAAAAGAGAGAAAGTGAGTTCTCTTTTGTGCGCAGCCAACAAAAGCCTTGAGCAAAATTCGTTTGCACGCATGAAGGATACGCTCAAGCGGAATTCATGTGGAGACAAGCTTTTGTAATTAAATTAGCATTAATGTTGTCGCTGGGATTATGGACTGCCAGCTCACTCAATACCATTGTCGTCATCATTCTCATTTCTCCTTGTGCCACTTCATTAAAGATCGCTCATACGCCCTGTGGCCGGAGTATGTCCTCGTATGTAGTTAAGTGGCAGAAGGACACACTTCATGCTCTCAGCTTTCGTCGGCTTGGAATTTTCTTGTGACGTCCTCGTTTTTATTTCGATATCAATTGCCACAACGCTGCAAATTTATTATGGGATTTTATGAGCTACTTGCACCTAATTGCCGCTGCACAATTCTCAGAATTGTTGCATGCCTGCCAACGGGCCATAAATAAACGCCTACTTCAGCAAAGGCAACAGAAGTAGTCATGAAATGTTTGCTGCAAGGAATTTAAATTCTTTTAACAATGCGCAAAACTGTGCATTTATTTTACGGAATGCCCCTTTGGCTGTACGTCCGTTTGACTGTATGAACACAATTTTTATCGACTCGTTTTGGAATTTCCTGTTTTGATTTTAAAATTTTACTGTTACCAACTTAGTAAGTATGAAGGGAACATGTTGCTAGAAATTATTACTTACTGAGCATAGTATTGAGCAAACTGTTTTACCAGGCTCCAAAAGTTCATTCCGTTTTAGACTAATTTTACAAACAGAAAATAATAAAATGTATGAAAGCGAAAAGTTGCAGGTTAAGTTGTAAGAAGTTTTTTAATTTAAGTAAAGACCAAGAAGTTAAACCAAAGTTAAAGCAACTAAATTACTAGTTGAATCTTAAATACTCTTTCTCTGTAAATCTACCGTTAATTTTGATTGAAAATTAATTCTGGCCCAAAATTGGTTATTGAATAAAATGATGTACATATATTATTTCGAGATAAATAATTTAAACAAAGAAGTTCAAACCCTATGCAAATTAAATGTTAAAAAATGTAGAGTCTAAATGTACCCCCAAGAATTTTCAAATCATATTTCTATCAAATCTTAAAGACAGCTTTTTTATGTGTCAGCTGTTGAAGGGAGTTCGTTTTGACAAAGGAAACTTTTCGACCGGAAGTATAAGAATAAGTACTTACTAACATTTGTGTGTATGTGTATATTTACGCGTATGTTGTTGCGTCTGTGTGTGCTGCTTTGTATGCATGTTGGACTGTTGGGGTTGAAGTCCTTGGGCTGTCTGCAGGTTTGGGCAGTTGCCGTTCTGAGTGTTGTTTAAGCAAATTGCAAGTGTAAATATTGCAACAGCCAGTAGCAGCAACAGCAGGAACATCAGCAGCAGCAGAAGCAGCAGCGGCAGCGACAGCCAGCAATAACAACAAATGCGACCCTTGTCGCAGCTGTGTAAACAGGGGTAATAACAACAACAGCAAGCCGATATTGCTGACGTCAGCAGACGCAGACAAACACAAGCATTACACAAATAACACACAAGCAACACAAAATGCATAAGCTCGCGCCCGCTGCTCTCTCTTCCTCCCTTTCTCTCTCCCCCTCTGTCCAACTGTTCGGCCGCTTTATACAGACAACTCAACTCAACTGAACGCAACTGAAGCGAACTCAATGAAACCGAGCGAGCGACCAACCAAAATGGCCGCACCGGAAGTCGCTGGCCGCCATTTGCTTTGCTGCTGCTGCTGCTGTTGCTGCGCGTGCCATTCAATTTGATCTGATTTTATTGCTGTTGCTGTAGTGGTCGGTATCATTGCCGTTGTCGTTGTTTGTTGTGCAGTTGTTGTTTCATCACTTGGTGTATAATTCAGATTGTTTGTTTGCTTGTCCCTGGCAAACGAGGTACACAAATCATTAGCTGCCCCATTAGAGAAGCCAATGAGCAAAGTGACCAAAAAGGATTTGCATTAACCGCTTTCCGCTTATTCAATATTCACTATTTAGTTTATTTGTTAGCCCGATTTGTTGGTTATCGAAAAAGCAAGCAACAATTGCGATGCATAAACACAAAAATGTTTGCATGTCAAATATAATAGCACCTTGTTAATGCGACTACATAATATTATAATCCCATCAATATCAATAACTGTCAAGAATAAAAGTGCAAACATAAATGAAAAATAATTAAATGTCAATGATAATGTCGACAACGCTGCGCAAATGAAGGTAGATAATAATCCTGGCCACAATGCATTCACATTTGGGTGCCAAGAAAATATGAATATGTTATATTTGCATTTGGTATACAAAACCATACAATCATAAAAAGGCTGTTTGAAATTATTTTATGTACACAGGTCCCCATTGAAAATGACTTAGAATGGGGTATATCAACTAGAGCCGTTTATTTATCAGGCTGGTAAGATTATAACAGCTAGCTGAGTATATCAAAGCCTATTTTTTCCCTTCATTACCAAAACTTGGATCCGGGTGTTCGGTTGTGATCATACTCCTGATGAAAGATCTCGCCCCTTAAATAAATCATAGAATTATGCTTGATGTTGTATTTATGTATAATTTAATCAAGAGCGACTGGACCCCACTGGGATTGACTAGGCAAATAAACTTATCCTTTTCACTCTAGCAGTAAGTCATTAAGTTATTAACAGACAGTAATTGATTATTTTTGTCGATGTAAGCCTTGATTAATAGTCGATTTTTTTAATGTTATTCAAATTTTCCGAAATGAGTTAATATTAATTTAGATATGCAACATTTTTAATGATTCCAGCTGTCTATGCCCATCCTCTTATGTATATTCAGAATTATTGGGGCTGGCAATTGCCTTTGATGCATTCAAAGTATTTGCTTGTGACTGCATTGAAATTGCGCAAAGCTCCAAATTCAATTGAGCTTAGCTGTTCCTGATGTTGTCTGCTTTCCTTTGCAAACTCCTTCGCTGAATCTTGAGCAGTTGAGACTACACGGCGTATACTTAATGCGCGTCTAATTAGTGTCCTAATAGGCTGGCATTACGCATACGGCGTCATCGCGACACGTTACATGTGAAGAAGTACTTGACTTAGAGCGCATTTTTTACTTGTTCTACTTTCAGCAACAACTGCAATTGTAAGAGCTACTGCAACCGCAGGCACAACAACAACAACAACAACAACAACAGCAAGAACAGCAACAACAACTGTAAAAGCAACAGCTGCAGCAACCGCAACAACACTTGTTAAGTGGTAGGCGCGAGGCTAAGTAAACAGCAACGCCTTCACATTGGATTACGCGCAGTTTTACTTTAGACCAGAGCCAATTAGTGGCCAACAGCAACAACAACAACAACAACAGCAACCACAGCAGCAGCTAGCGCAACTACAGACGCAGCAGACACAACAACAGCTGCAGCTGCAGCGACAGCAACAGCAGCAAGTGCAGCAGCAATTGCTCGCCCAACAGCAACAGCAGCTGCAAATCCAACAACTGCAACAACAACTGCTGCTGCAACGGCTCGAGCGTGAGTTGCAGCAGCAACAGCACCAACAGCAGCTAGCCCAACAGCAGCAGCAAATCCTCTACCATCAGCGACAGCACTACGAGCGTCTGAGCACACCTGGACGACATCGCTGGCTTACGAGCAGCAATCACTACGGTTACACGCCCTTGCAGCAACACCAGCACCAACATCACCATCACCAGCAGCACCAGCAGCAGCAGCAGCAACAGTATAGCTATTACTTCAGCCGCGGCAGCAGCAGCTCCAGCGGGCTGGGTCTCGGCTTGGGTGTGGGCTTGGGTTTCGGACTGGGCAGCAGCAATCTAGCCAGCTGGTACCATCTGCCGTCCACCTCGGCGCACATTTACATTGGCAGTAGCAGCACCGGCGGCGCTCCGTATCCCTATCGCCTAGGCTACAGTGGTGGCGGCTATCCTGCTGCAGCGCTGATTAACTTCGACGCGTCGCCCACGCCGCTGTTAGCATCGACGGGCAGTTCACCCGGCTATCTGCCACCTCTGCCGGAACCGGTGCTGCCACCACCGCCACCAGCTCCGAGCGTAGCCACCGATTACTACTTCAGCAGCAGCAGCAGCAGCCGACCGCCCGCAATAGTCGCAGCCGAACCGTTTCAGGATTACGCAGCGGCGGCGGTAGCAGCGGCGGAAGAGGAGCTGCAAGCTGGCGGCTATCGCTACAAGGCCACGCCACGCCGGCGCTACGACGCCTACGACAACTACGGCTACCTGCCAGGCCTTGCCAGCACAACAGAGGACGAGGACGATCTACTTGAGGAGTGCCTGCCGACGGCTTTGCTATCCACGGACTGCGAGAGTCTCGAGGACGTGCGTTTCCTGCAATACAATAGCAATCACCATCCGGAGTACGACGACGACGACGACGAAGAGGCACAGCTGGCGCACATACTCGATCTTGATCTGCCCGATTTTCTGCGCCCTTACAGCAGCAGCAACATCGGCGGCGGCGGAAGCAGACACAGCCACAAAACGCCGCCTCAAAACGAATATCAAACGGAGCACGGCGGCTCAGCCGGAGCAGGCGCAACCGGAGGAGGGACTGGGGCAGGAGGAGCAGGCGGCGGAGGCAGCAGAAGCGAAGGAAGTGCCAATCAATCGCATCGTGAAACGGAACAACAACGCTATCACCACTACCAGCAGCAGCAGCAACAGCAGCAGCAGCAACACCAACATCATCAGCACCAACATCATCAGCACCAGCATCAACATCAGCACCAACACCAGCAGCAGCAGCAGCAGCAGCAATCGCAGCAGCAACAGGCCTATCAGTCCTACCAATACCCCTCGCACGACAGCTGTGAGGGCTTCAATCAGTTCGCCAACGCCAACAGCTGCCTGGGCAATCAGAGAATGATGGTTAGCAAGTTGTGGAACAGCTGCTTTCCGGAATTTACACCGGATCATGTTCATCGGCATAACTTCTATCTGTGCCAGGTGAGCGGAAATGTAATCCCAAGCCAATCAGAGAATACTCTTGTGTTTTTAGTTTGAAAGTAATTTTCCCCTATATCGTTTTGACCTAGTGGGATCAGCCTAAATGAGATAATCCATGGACATGCTAGAAAATTCTCAGTTAATATGGTTAAATTGTAGTTGGAAAAAGAACTCATGCATAGAGTGTAGTCACTCGGACGGTACACGGACTCATGTGGATGTAGGGATGTAGGGATATAGGGCTGAAGGACTTTGTAGCCGGGGCTAAAAGCAGCATTGATACTTAGTTTATACACTTAACTTAATTAATGTATACACACTCGTCCTTATCGCTTAGGGCTCACTTGAAACTAGTGCTAAGCGATCCATGGTTGATAATATAACCTGAAGACCCAAAGAAATCGGAATACAGGGTTTTTTTCCTGGCAGAAAAGTTCTTATTGAAAACAATTTTGAATCTATCACTAATGTCTATACCCACATGTCTATCATACACAGTGGCAGCGCAACACTCAGGTGCGTATTGTGTACCTGTTTTATCGTTGGATAACGGCGATAACCTGTTTGGCGGCATTGGTCTGCTCGCTGCTGGACATTGGGCGTACGGAGGAGCACTTCGAGCACCACTATGCAAAGTGGTGGATCTACCTGACCCACTGGGGACTGCTGTTTTGCACTGTGCAGGCATGGCTGGCCGCTTGGATAGTCACCCAGGGCATGATGGTGGAGCGTGAGGACTTTGAGGTTGTGCGCCAGGCGAAGAAGAGTCGCCTGCATCACCTCTACTGGGTGCTCTACACCTGTGCGACAGTCTATGCCTTTATTGTCACCATGTGCTACTGGCTGCTGGTCCACAATCCCGGTAAGTAAATAATTATCTAAATGAATATAGCAATAAAATAGTATGCGACATTGCTGGCAAAGCTGATTTGCTGTTTTATAAATTCAATTCCCTGGTCCATACGTGATGCTATCCGACCGCTTATGGCAAAACGCCACGGCCCTGCAGCTCTCGCTCTCAATGGAGTCGTTGGCAATTCGACTTACTACCACCAAACCGCCCACAGTGCAGCCGAAAGCTATGTACATTTTGGCTGCCTGCTCCAGGTAGCCGAACCTCGAGTGTCTGTCACGGGAGATCACGTGCAATCGAAACGTATTGTACATGGCCCACGGTCCGAATAGCGTCACGCAAAAGGTCAGCGGCAGATACAAATGCATGGCTAGGCCAGTGAGCAGGGCTAGAGTGCTGGTGAGGAAGACCGTGATGCTTAAAAATATCAAAATCCATAGGTTCATGGTTAAGCAGGGAGGCCTCCAGAGGCCCAGGGGTGTATAGATTAACAACACAGCCAAGCCAATCAGTATGATATACCAGGTCAGGTCGAGTTCACGCACGCACAGAAACATAATCAGCAGAGTGAGGCTCTCGAACATGCACAGGAAGATGATCCAGTTCAAGGGATATATGAGCTGCAGCCGGCGGAAGCCAAGAAACGCCAATGTCAGATTCATCCAGGTCAGCAACAGCAGAAGCATATTAAAGTTGCGCTCCGGTCCATTCAGCTGCGGCCGCCAGCGATAGGTCGAGAGTAGCCACTGCCCCGTGGACAGAACCACCTGGACGCCCAACAGAACATACACGTAGGAGAGGAAGGCCAGCCGCGAGGGTCTATCGGTTAACAGTCTGCTCATGCGACTGGTGTTGCGATCATACCTCGATTCGGCGTATGGCAAATAATGAGTGTTCAAGCTGGGATCGTATAAGATAGCATTGTCCTCGGCCGGCATGATGATGTTCGTATGCCTGTGCTTCCTTGGCTCCGTTTGCGTTTCCTCTGACCGTACGTAGAGCTCCGGCGCTGACACAGATTTGTTAGACATGCTGCTTGTCAAGTAAAAGTTCCGACTGACAAACTGACTAACTGACAGCCACTGACAAGTACTAGCTACACTTTGATAACAAAAAAAACCCCCAAAAAAAAAACAACAAAAACAATAAAAACAAAAACATAGATACGAGCGACAAAATCAATTTGATGAGCGAGCCGCCACGTGGACTCCCGCAGACCGTGCGCGGTTATTATCTGCAGGTATATGGAACAACTCTCATCTTCATAGTATTCTCCGTGATGATGGTGCACCTCATTGGCCTGATACGTGCTGATCCGTCCGAACGGAACAATATTCCCGCCGCGGTATTTTTTGTGCTCGCCTTCATCTCATTCTGCATCTATGTGAACGTCATGTGGCTGCGTCGCCACTTTCCATACAATTGGGTTGCCTGCTGTGCCATTGCCCTGATGCTCACCCTGGGCAATGCATTTATACTGATCGAACAGGACGAGGAGGATCTGCTTGTGGTGCTGGAAATCATATGTCTGATGGTGGTCTTTCTGCTGTTGGGATCTTGGCTGCCATCGCGTTTTTCCGCGTTTCTATATATAGGATTTATTTGGCTAATTGTGACGGTGCTGACGATCTCGATCCTATTAATTGTATGGGCATGCAGTGAAGATGAGAATGATCTTCCGCCTTACGTTGTCCATGGCCTTTTGTGGATTTGCATGTGTCCATTGCTGATGTTTCAGGGCCAAGTGATCAACGGCCTTCTCTGGAACTTGAAGCCAATTTTCGACATTCCCATTTGTTCGGTCCTGTTGCTGATCAATTATTTGGCCTGCTATGCATATGTTGATGCCACCCAAGACATTATATTTGCCCTACAAATAGCATCCTCTTCCAATAAGCGAGTTCTGGCCCGCGGATTTGCCAATATGTAGAGCAAGCGGATCGCTGACAAAGACCCAACGGAGGGTCCAGTCGCCATGCCATGAATACAGTTTTAATCTTAACCCATAACATATCATTCAAATTGATCTAGTGAATATTTGTCGTAACAACTGTAATATCTTATTAAAACCATTCCAAAAACCGGGTTAAGAATAAAGATAAATGCTAGACGGCGATAGAGCATATGCAGCTCATATTTTAATTTATTTTACGATAGCCTTTGTTTTCAGTGGAACAATTATTAATTGCCTGTTGCAAATGCAATACTACATTCATTATTCATAAGAATAATTCATTATTCCAATTCATTATTCATTACTTCATCAAAAATATATACTATAATTTATGGAGAAAGAAGCATCTCCAATTCTTTCTGTCCTGTTTTAACAAACGCTAACAGATGTCCTTTTTATCTCCCTCTCTCTCTATCTCTCTGTCTCTCTCTCTCTCGCTCTCTCTCGTTTCAATCAATCTTCAATCTTTTCTTACCGCTGCAGACATCCACAAAATTGACGCCTTGAACATCATGGTGCACGTTCTGAACTCCATAATAATGCTCATCGATTTGGCCATTGTGGGGCATCCGATTAAGATGAGCCACGCCTACTTTACCACAGGCATTGGGCTGGCGTATGCCATTTTTACGGGCATTTACTTCTTGGCCGGCGGCACAGACAGGTAAGCACATGGCATATATCCCAGTTGGATCAATTAATTGTGTTGCTTGGAATTGGGAATTAGGAAAAACCAAACTGCCATTTATCCGATGATGGACTGGACCAAGCCGGGCAAGGCCATCATTGTGACGGCGTGTGCCATCATTTTCACGTTCTTCGTGCACTTCTGCTGTTATCTGCTGTACCGTGGACGCGTCTGGCTCTTTACCAAGCTATGCATACGTGGACGCCACAATCGCGATGGCGAAATGGGCGAGGGGCTCAATGATGACTCCGGCTCACGCATGGGTGGAGGCGGTGGTTTTGTTGGTGGTGCAGCTACTGTAGTTGGCGGCGGCGGCAGCAGCCAGGACTATGCCCATCAGCAGCAGTATCCCATTGCGCATACGGAGCAGCCGCGTGCCATCTCACAGCAGCCGCCATCCAGCTACCAGGTGCCTCCACAATACTCGGGCTACTTGCAGCAGCCGGTTGTGGCCGGCGTCAATGTGGGCGTGGTCAGCGCAGATGGAGTCTATCAGCCAATTGGCACAGACACGGGACGCACCAGCGGAGGTGGACCCAGTGGAGGCGGTGCCGGTGGCAGCGGAGCCGATGGCGCTAGCAAGCACAAGAGTTCTGGTTCTGGCTCGGGCTCGGCACTTACACGTACTGTGGCCCATTTGGATGCTGCACAGCGGGAGCAGTTCCTCAATCCCAACAAGATCGTCGAGTATAAAATGTAAAGGCGTTGTACCCGGCACCGGTATACGTTCCGCTTGTCCATGAAGTTTCTGGAGAAGCACTGTGCGCAGTGCGAGGCGGCGCGTCAGGCCGTCAACGAGGAGCAGCGCCATCTGGCGGCAGCCGATTCGCATGCGCACAGTGGTTAGTTTAAGATTTGCTTTTGCAGTTTAATTTCCAAGCCAGCTGCCCAGCCCCAGGCTCAATAGGTCTTAGTATGCTTAGTGTCGCAATTGGGTTTGTGGTTGCCTGGTTTCGGGCAGTTGGTATTGTAGCCAGCATTTGGTATTCGTAGCTGTAAAGTAGTTTCGTAATTTTGTAAAAGCTTTGCCAGTTTTTGTAAGTGTGGCCGCTTTGCCAGCTACAGTAGTAATTCGTTTTGTGCGCAAGCGCCGGCAAGATTGTCAGCCACAGCGAAATAATATATTTTAACTATTGTTGTATGTAGTTGTCGTATCCTGAATAGAGTATATAGACAGACTCATCGATTTTGAGCAATTTCAAATATTTTCAATGGACTAAGTTGAACATTTTTATGTTACAACCAATACAAACAATACACACAAGCACCTTTCATTTAACTGACAGCAATTGTGTTCAGAAATAAGTAGGCAACAAATATAAACACAGAGCGTCCATTAATTAATAATTCAGTTGAACAAAAACACATACTGCCTAAAATGTGGCACACACACACACATACCCATTAACACAATATTTCACTTTCAACTCGATTGCAATTGTTTATATCCAGCTTAATTTTTGCCAAACATTACACACATATATCGGTGCAGGAGTACAACAGACGCGGGCCAAGTGTCCTGCAGGCAGCAATTATGGAGTCAGGATTTTCGTTGGAATTCGCTCGCATAAGGGACACTGTGCATAGGCGTAACAAAAACACACACACATACAAAAAGAGTAATTTTTTTGTTAAATATATATAAATAAATGTTAAGTTTAGGACATGCTTGGCACTGCTTATAGTCTACCAAAAAAATAAAAATAAAATTAAAAAAAAACATAAGGCACACAAAGATTAAAAAAAAATACAAAACATAAAAACCATATAAATTAGTTAACGAGTAACTGAGTATTTTGAAGCAATCGCAAATGCTGCGTTAAACGAATAATTAAAGTCAAATGAATAATAAGTGCACGATATTGAAAATTATAATGGATTATCTAAATCAAATATTTAAACATTAATTACAAATAAAACAAAATAGTTTGTATGATGTTAAACCAGTTGAATGCAGTATTAAACAGAGTAATGAACAATAATCGATTGCTCAGAGCCCAGATAATAGTTGTACGATATGTTAATGTTGAATCGAGGGCCCTAAAGATATAGGATTCGCATACCTTGTACCACAATTCACAAATCACAATGACCTGAACACCTGGACAACAAAGAACCTACACTTACAAAATAAACAAACATTTATCAATTGAATAGAGTTAATGCAGCTAATAATGAATATGTATTTTAAATATTTATATGTATGTAAATATTTGTTTTTCATATATGTTCTATTTATGCATGCGTATATTTAAAAAAAAATGCATACGCAGATGTTAGAAAAAGAAATCAAAACAAAATCAATAAGATCGTACTAGAAAAAGTTCTATGTAAAATGTTGTAATACAAAACTTGAACAAAAACAAAGCCCGAAAACAAAAATCAAATGCAATGAATTAAACTCGTCAAGAGGAATGTGTTAACAAACAAATAGATACAAAATGATATTTAACTAAATACATACACACTCACACATATTATAAAATTGAAATCCAAAAACAAAACAAAAATAATAACAGAGTGTGCTCTATAAACAATATCCGTAAAACAGAACATATAGTACATAAACATGCACCAATGCATGTATTAGAAATATGTGTAAATTACAATTAATTTTCGATAGATTTACATAAAAATAACAAGATAAATAAACCGCACACACATACACACACACACACTAACACAGAGAAACAAAAAAAAAAGATATATATTTAGCAACAGTTGAAATAAATGTTCAAACATTTAGTATGTGTGTATGCGTTTTATGGCCATTTTTCGTTAAACATTTTCATTTTACATACCCTTGCAGTGGGTTTTTGACAAAATTTATATTACGGCATGTATGTATAATGAAGTGGTTTCTCAGATCCCGAAGAGGTCTATTTTGCTGATTTCATGTCCGTCCATCCGATTTTACCTCTCAGACTTGAAGCTCAAGTTTCCCAAATATATTCCACAAGTCAAGTCGCCGATTTTGATTTGAATCCAGAAACTTTACATATTTAATTGCTGTAATAAATGCATTCGATGTGTTGTAAGTCTGCATGGGTATTTGAATCTCGGTGCGCCGAGGATGTATTTTTTTAGGTTTTATTTGTAATCATGTTTTTAATAAATATTCGTATGTGAATATATTTTGGCATTTCCGAAGTTCATTTGTCTTTGTAACCAGTTTTTGTTAGGGTTTTAGCAGAACTGAAAATATGCTTCATATTTTTTTGCTTTGCGACCTTTAGGATAAATGTATAAATGTATGTTTATATAGACTGAATATTATTAAATAAACATCAAAAAGGAAGTAAATAAATAAACAAATTAAATCAAGTTATGCATATAAAATATAAATAAATCACTTTCCGATTGTGTAAAATATATAAAAATAAAAAAAAAAGAGTTGCATTAAACACAAAATAAAACAATAAGCACATATCAATAATTAAACAATTCAAAGCGAAATACAAAAACAAAATGAACACTGATATTCTACAAAGCGAAACTCAAAGTTGCATATTCTAAACCAAAAAAAAATCAAAAAACCCAATTAATGTTGACCTCATCAAAAACCAAATACACACATAATAAATGTTTAATAAAACATAAATGTTAAGCAATCATATTAATAATATGTATACACATTTAAGTACATGCGAATTAGTCTAAGGCAAGAGAAGAAATTTAAATATTATATTTTGTAGATTTTTAGTAAAGTAGCAACATGTCAAGATACACGCATATATCTACTATAAACCTACTATTATCACACACACACACACACATATATATACATTAACGATCATCAATATGTACTCGATATGAGAATATTTACTTGTATTCAAATGTTCAAGCAACAAACGACAAATGGCAAAGCTTTAAGATACTAGAACTTTGGACGGAAACTTTTTACAACTGGATAAATGTAACAAATGTTTCAGTTCTAAGCAAGAAGTTGGCTCATTATACTGAAGTATATTTAATAATTTAGTGGCAGATACCATAAATTGCTCAGCAGGCGGCGTTAGCAGTTAGTGAAAAGCTATAGATAAATCCGAGATAAAAAAAAAAACTTATAAACCAATTGCACTCAAAAAAAAAAAAAAAAAAACAAATACAAATTAAATATACAACATTAACAATTTTAAAGAACCCAAATTTAAATGCATGCGTTGAAAATAAAAGCAAATGCGTATACAGAGATATACCCTTCAATATAAAAGTAATTATGAAATTTAAACATGAAATAAATTAGACATAAAACCAATTGTTTACCTTTCAAGTATTTCTCCGCATTTAAGCAAAACGATAACAAACAACAAATGATTTAAATAATTGTTCAAAATAATAGCACTAAATGCGTGGAGCCGAAATTACAAAGCATATTTAAACCAAGGTTTTTATTAACACCAACTAAGCAAGAACGAAAACTTTTTATTGTGGAAATTGTAGATGGATTAAAAACACCCTCAGATAAGCCAAGCAAATCGAGAACAACATGTATTACAAAAAAAAAAAAAAAAAAAAAAAACATATATATATACACATATATATATATATATATAAATCAAAAGCAAAACCAAAAGTAAACCCATAAATACCCATATATACTTTAATAATATGAAGTATAACTACCTATTATTATGTATTTGAAAGCAAAGCATTGTGAATTAGTATTAAAACAAGCAAACAACAAACAAAAGGTGGTAAATAAAGATTGTAAACGAAATAAATAAATTATAAAATATAAATAGGTTTTGGCGAGCAGTTGGGTACCATGGGCGGAGTACCCGTACACGAAATCTACGTCAAATGAAAATATTTCATACAAGCTTTGAGATTCTTCCAAAACCCGTGCAATGCCTTGTGAAAAGACTCCCTCTGTTTGTTCTATATTATTTTAATTAATACCTTAAACAAAAAAAGTCGAATAAAAAAATCTTCTGAGTGACTGACTTGCTGAGCAAATTCTAGGGATCAAGGATGCAGAATCGGAAGACTAAGATGGGGTTTTACAGTTTGACAGCAGAAAAAATGTTCACACTTTCAGCATTATCTATAACAAAATTGGTGGATATAAAATTAAAAGTAAACCCTGCATAATAATTATATTTTCAGCATCCTTATGAGAAAACATCCATCATTTTTTATTTATTTATTTCTCTTAACATCCTGGTGCTACAAGATGCATTATTCAAAGCTCTAGAATGTATTTTCTACATAATTACTTGGTATATTTTGTAAACTAATATTATGTGTTATGGTATTATGTTCACTTAAACGAAAAGAATTTGATTTCTTCGTATGATTACTGAAACATAATATATATAATATTTGCATAGTTGATATCTCCAAGCCTTTTTGAAAGGGCGCATAAAACCTAATCTAAATAGAAAAACAATCATCCATTGGCCTCAGTGTGCGCGTTGCCAGTATTATTCTTGAAGAAAGTTTAGTTATCATAAATTTATTAATATATGCTGCGATTTTTAATACTTAATACAAAATCTATTTGTCGGTTGGTTTGTTTTAGTTTCACACATTTATAATTGATTTCTGTTTTAGCCATAGATACATTTAGTTTTACATTTATTTTTACTTTATTATTAAATAATTAGTAACATAATTTGGTTTACTGCGCCTTAAAAAGTAATCATCATTTAAATGTATACATAATCACGTTCCTTTTCATTCACTTCACTTTTGTGTAATTCAAATTATACAAACATAAACATACAAAGGGAAACTGCGTAAGTTAAGTAATTACACTTTATATCACGTATGGGGGGGTTTTGTGTATGGTTGGCAGAACTTGGACAAAAATAACAAATTGTTAGGCATAAACAAAGTCAAGAACTTTTAAGTTAAGCATACAAAAGTGCAAAGCAATTTAAAAAAGGAGATATTTAATTTTGTAACTGAAAATTCGTCGCTGGCTCAGCCTATTCCGTATCTAAGAGAGTTTCAAATAGGATGGCGGCGAGCATTTCTTGCGCAAGAACTTGATTATGTACAGCGGCAAGCAAGAGACGAGTGTTATGAGCGATACTTTCCAGAGAAAGTCGTATGACCAGATAAACTCCCAGTCTGCAAGCAATATAAACAATAAGATATAACAGATCAAATCATTCCACGATAATACACACCGAAATACTCGTGCAGCACCGCCAGTGAGATGAGATAAAGCGCCAAGCTAAACAGTTCCGCTAAGACCATAAGCCTAGGAGGTAAATAAATCAAAATTAATAGGTAATAGTCAAAAATTGTTATGATATTCTTACCTGTGCCAGGTGCGCACCGTCAATGCAACCATGATGAGTTCTGTCATAATAAG